GCAAATTCTATCAGGGTAGATGGTCTTCCCAGCTTCCCTTAAAGTCAGTGACACACGCCCTTAACATGTCCTCCAAGGTCTAGATGGTTCTCTCTGACTGTCAATCTGTTTGTGGGTGAAAGGCGGTGCTAAATGCAAGTCTGGTTCCCAATGCTGACTGCAGACTTGCCCAAAATCTGGAGGTGAATTTAGTGTTCATGTCTGACACAATGCTAATAGGCACTCCATGCAATCTCACAATTTCTCTGATGAACAACTGAGCCAGTTTATCTAGAGTATAGGTCATGCGAACCGATTAGAAGTTAGCAGCCTTACTTAATCGGTCCACCACGACCTAGATACTATCATGCCCTGCACTTGATCTCGGTAATCCAGAAACAAAGTCGATCGTGATGTGTTCCCATTTCCATTCTGGTATGGGTAAGGGCTGTAATAGTCCTGTAGGTCTCTGATGTTCTACCTTCACTTGCTGGCATATCAAACACTTAGCTACAAAATGTGCCACATCTCGCTTCATGTTGTTCCACTAGAATGTTTTTTTTCAAATCTTGGTACATCTTTGTACTCTTTGAGTGTACAGAGTAGCGGGAGTGGTGTGCTTCCTCTAGGACAACCCTGTTTATCTTCTCATCATTAGGAACACACACTCGGCCTCTAAACCTTAACAAGTCATCACTGCTTATAAAGAAATCTTCCTTTCCTCCCATTTTCATTTCTTCAATGATTTTTATCAGCTGGGGATCTCCTTTTTGGGTCGCTCGAATTCACTGAAGAAGTTGGGGTTCCATCCTTAAACACGACAACATTCCTTTCCACTCATCACGGGGCTGGGATGGGTGTCACTCCGCTACATCCTCTAACGACTTCATTTATTGAATCATTAAATGTGCCACAGAAACCACAACATTTCGACTTGAGGCATCGACCATTACATTGGTCTTGCCTAGTCGGTAATCAATTGTACAGTTATAATCATTCACTAAGTCCATCCATCTTCTTTGCCTCATGTTTAGCTCTTTCTGGGAAAACAGGTACTTGAGGCTCTTGTGGTCCATGAACACCTTAAATTGGGCCCCATAGAGGTAGTGTCTCTAGATTTTTAATGTGAACACTACTGCCGCGAGCTCCAAGTCGTGAGTGGGATAGTTTTGTTCATGTGGCTTTAGCTATCTGGAGGCATAAGCAATAACTTTACCTCTCTGCATAAGTACACATACGAGCCCTTTATAGGATGCATCGGTATAACCACAAAGTCTTCATTTCCCTCGGGCAAGGCCAATATTGGGGCTGTGACTAGTCTCTTCTTAAATTCCTGGAAACTCTTCTCACATTCCTCTGACCATATAAATTTTGCATTCTTTTGGGTCAGCCGAGTTAGGTGAAGCGCTATCTCTGAGAATCGTTCTACAAAGCGCCTATAATACCATGATGGTCTCAGAAAGCTATGAACCTCAGTCACATTTGTTGGCCTTTCTCACTTAAGTACGGCTTCGAGCTTAAAGGGGTCGATCGTGATCCCATCCTTAGAAATAATGTGCCCAAGGAAGGCCACACTGAGGAGCCAAAACTCGCTCTTGCTCAACTTAACATACAATCTTTTCGACTTCAAAGTTTGCAAGACCATCATTAGATGTTGTTCATGCAGTTTCCGACTCTTTGAATATATCAAGATATCATCGGCAAACACCACTACAAAGTCATCTAGGAAGGGTCTGAACACCCTATTCATCAAATCCCTAAACACAACAGGGGCGTTGGTTAACCCGAAGGACATCACAAGAACCTCATAGTGACCGTATCGAGTTATAAAAGCAGTCTTTGGAATGTCTTCCTCCTTGAACCGTAATTGATGATAACCTGATCTAAGGTCAATCTTCGAAAACACTTGGGCTTCCTTGGAGTTGGTTAAAGAGGTCATCAATCCTAGGCAGAGGGTACTTTCACCTGGTTTAACTACCTATAGTCAATACATAATCTCAAGGACCCATCATTTCTCTTCACAAACAGGACTGGTGCACCCCAGGGCAACACACTAGGTTGGATAAATCCCTTAACCAATAATTCCTGCAACTGCTCTTTTAACTCTTTCAATTCAGCTGGGGCCATTCTATAAGGGGCTTTAGAAAGGAGAGCGACGCCAGGTATACCTCTATCTCGAACTCAATTTCTCTTTCTGGAGGTTGGGATGACAATTCATCTGGAAACACCTCAGGGTATTCTTTTACTATGGGTGTCTCTTTCAACTGGGTCTGAACATCTCGATTCTCTACTACATATGCTAAATATCCTACATATCTCTTAGCCAAGAGGCGAGAGGCCCGGAGGGCGGAGATAAAATGCAGAGGAGAAGTATCGCTAATGCCCTCAAGGTGTACTTTCGCTTAATCTGGACGTTTAAAGGTTACCGTCTTTTCATGGCAGTCGACGGTGGCATGGTTTGTAAACAACCAATCCATGCCTAGAATTACATCAAAGTCTTGAATATTTAGGTGGATCAGGTCTACTGGCAGGTCACACCCATTAATTGTAATCTTACATTGTTTATATACTTTATCAATCTCCATAGAGTCTCCCACCGGTGTACATACTACTAAAGTGTAATTGAGACATGCAGGTGCAACATTCATGTAACGAGCAAAATGGGGTGCAACAAATGAATAAGAGGATTCAGGGTCAATTAAGACTTTAGCATTAATATCATAAATTGAGAGCATACCTCTGATCACCAAGGTGGATGCCTTAGCCTCTTGTTCAGTGAGTATGAACACTCGTTCTCGGGTCTTCCAGCTATCCTCGATCTTTATCATTGGGCAGTCCTTCACCTAGTGGCCAGGCTTGCCGCATTTTAGACATACATTCTTCTTTCGGTAGCATTCCACGACAGTGTGGTTGCTTCTCCCACAATAAGAATAAATCGGGCGTCGATCATTGTCCATATTGCTCGGAAGACTCTTCGGGATCCTTGGGTTAGGTGGGTACGACCTCCCTCTGGCGTTTCTCCTTGAAGACTGCCAAGGTTTCTTCCCAAACATTCTCTACGATGTTGTTTTCCTTTTTCTTTCCTCCCTTAACCTGTGATCCTTGCAATCTTTTTCCATCTTTAGATCATGATCTACCATCGGGGTGTACGACTTTATGTTGGCCGACATCACCCTACTCCTGATATCTGATCGCTAGCCCCTTTCAAATTTTGCCGCCTTTCGCACCTCGGTATTTATGATGTGGGGCGCATACCTAGAAAGCTCTGCAAATCGAGTGGCGTATTGTTCAACGGTCATACTCCCTTACTGGAGTTCGATAAATTCTACTTCCTTCCTTTCTTTGACGGAATCAGGGAAGTACTTCTCAAACGCTGTCAAGAAGTTTTCCCAGGTGACCTCGGTCCCTATCTCTCTCCAAGCCTGCCTCACCGAGTCCCACCAGTATTCTGCTTCCCCTTCTAGCATAAAGGCCCCAAGCCTGGCTTTTTACTCATCTGAGCAGTGTAACACCTATAAGATCTTCTCTATCTTTTTCTTCCACCTCTCAGCCTTCTCCACTCCTCCATGCCCTAAAAAGGTTGGGGGCGTCATTCTCCTAACCTCTGTAAGAGGCTACTGTCATTCTGCTCGGGCGTAGGGGTAGATTGGGTTGGCATCGATTCCTTCATCAATTGGGTCATAGCCCCCAGAGTCTTGTAAAACTTGTCGAGTGCCTCGAGGTTTTCATTACTGGAACTCGCGTTGTGGTTACGAGCTCTCGGCATCTTTTAACCTAGTCACAGGAACACCCAGTTACTTGCCTACCCCAAAACTAATCTAAGGACTCTCCTAAACTTCTTAGGCCAAGAATTCGCTTCTAGCTGCTCTGATACCATATCTGTCATGACCACCCCCGACCACCGTACTTTACACGACGACGGGCGATCGAGCGCGGGTTCGTGATTCAATGTAGCGTTTGTCACTCAAGTAGGAGTGGACCCAATGTATTTATATTCGAAAATCGAGCAAACCATGGACGAGAGTTAAAGCAACAAGCTTAACTAGTAGAAGAGTAAGGCAAAACTCCGCACACCAAAATTCATAATATAAAAATCTTTCAAAATATTACATTCAGTTCGGGGCATCTAGGCCCAATATTAGACATATCCACCAAGAACAAAACAAAACCAGGGCCAAACAACCCAGACATAAATAAGGTTTAAGCACCTTCTTCAAGAACACTAGCTTTGTCTTCCAGCCGCCAAGCACGAACTTCCAACCCTATACCTGCCGCTATTGATCTACAAGTAGAGGAGAAATAATTGGATGAACTATACAGCCCAATAAGCAGGTCTAGTGTTATGCATTTGCGGTGGTTCTATCCATATGTGACAACAATACAGTTTATCAATATAAAGTCATAATTTAGCATAAATGCATATCAAATCAAGATAGCGAATATGAACATTTCATTTAAACGGAAGTCATCACTAAATCAGTGCCATCATAGAATAGAGCTTAGGCTCTAAACAATCAAATTAGAGTCGACCTTCAAATAATGTCGAGAAATGTGGTTTCAATACTGAAAATATTTGTGAAAGCCTTA